ACCCGTGCTCGTTGGTTTCACCGAAGTAGTAAACGTCTGAGACCTGCATCACTTCGGGCTTTCCTCCTACATTAAGCTGACACGCCGTGATATACCTGGAATACTGTTAAAAGCGGCGTTAAACCCAACTCACTCACTCACTCTTTATCTGTGAGAAGTTCACAGAGATCGAGAATACACAATATCTAATAGTATATGCAATGTAGGTAAAGAATATCCACGCCCTCCTTTTGATATTAATAAAAACATTGTATATAATGTTATGTATTAAGTATTCTCCTTTCCCATGCATGGGGAATCTATGCTGCATTTGCTGACGACTGTTTTTTCCCTTTGACATCTGTCACTCATTTGTTGTATTTGAATTCTTCGTCAAAATATAATGTATAAATACGATTGAATTGTCTCGTTTGTTTCAAGGAAACGGTCATGTGCTCCTTATCAAATTAAGTAAATCTCCAATGCAAATCGACATAATTTCAGGGTCAGGTTGCACAGAGCTCTCTTCGGTAACTCGTAACTCAATGTTATTGCAATGGACTCCTAGCTAAGCTACAATTGGATGATAAATCAATTAACATATTTGTCGAATAGAGGATGGATCTTTCAGTCATAAAGTTGTGTACAGTTGCTAGAGTATCATTCTAACAATACAGACATGACTCAAGCTGCACGTAAAATAATTGATAAAGGTAGTCCTTGTTGGTTCACATACCCACATGTACATCGCCCAGGACATTGTCATTATTTGCTTTACATCCTCCGAGCAACGATAAAAAATTGAAACTTGAATAATAATAAATTGATATTATGTATATGAACATGTTTAAATCAGCTTGCACACAGACTACTGCAGAAAGACATCATGTGTCATCCATTTGCTAGTTTAGTTTAGTTTAGTTTAAACATATTTTTTCACAGAACAAAATGAGAATTGTATTGGGGACAAGTTCTTGCAACTTAGTAAACCCCTCTCCGCATAAAATATGTACAAATATACAGTTGCAAAATAAATAAATTTGCTTCAGTCAGTAAAAGTCAGACTTTCCACATTTCCACATCAATACATTTGTGGAAGTTTGTTACGTTATAATTATTCCATTGTGTATATTACTACCTACTTTACCAATTGAAATATGATTCCATTAGGTTAAATATGAACAATTATGATGAAAATCGTCAATAGGATATGTTACAATTAAGTACAAAAAACACAGAGTATTTCTCAAATAAATAAGAAAACTAAGTTCATTCTAGTAATAAATCCTCTTCTGGACAACCATATAAAGGAAATTCCAATGCGTTTATATATACATATAATTATACAACAATGTAAATTAACGACCTCAATCTTTCCCCAACACCCATACTTTAATGACGATTGTACGATAAACCCTGTACCAACCCTGACAAGGATAGGTTCTAGTCATTTAACGCCTTTGACACTAAACTTATAAGGTTATTACAATTTACGTAAAAAGTTATTACATTTTACCGCAAGTTGAGATTATTACAATTTACGTCAATTTTTATTACAATTTGCGTATTACAATTAACGTCAAATGTTATTACAATTTACGTGTATGTGTGTGTTGACGATGATGCAGTAGGATGAAAGGTTAGGGATCATGAATATTTTGGGGGATATTTATGAACTTGTGTGCCTTCACTAAAACGTAGTCACGATCCCTAACTATTTTAGTTTTGTTTGTTTTATTTTGTTTATTTATTTATGACTAGTTGCCATTGTTTATCGTACAATAGCACACTGGAGGGAGAATAAAGCATAAGGGGCGCAGGTTTATTCTCGCTGCAGTGTTTTATGCTTCGCCTGTTTTACTCTTTGGATTGTCTGTGCCTTGTTTTGCTCAGCATGCAGTTGCTCAGCACGGTGCCTTACTAACGCCTCACGCACAGAGAAGCCGACTCGTAGTTGTCAAAATGTATGTTCAGCGAGCATATGTGAGTATACAATCGTGAAAAGTTGAAACATATAAAATAATTATATGAATAAAAAGAAAAAACAAAACAAAACAAATGACCTAGCTTTTCAGAGTCTGAATCACATTTGAAAAAGGTTCGTCGCAATTTCTATTGGACAATTATAGTCGGGTTCAAAATTATTGCGAATTTTAATGTCATATTCGAGGAAGCATACATAAAATATCAATATTGACACGTGTTTAAACATGAGGTATGGTCAAAGGGAAGCAACTCTTCTTCAATTTTAGAAGTTGCAAATTAGAGTTATCTTCCTTGATTATGGAGCAGACGACTTTTCCTGATATATGTCAGAAATGAGTGCAGAGGAGAAAAGAAGGTTGATTCTACAGCTCCATGATGTAGGCATCACTGATGCAAGGAGCACAGATACTCCTCATTCTACAGTGCATAGAGTTAAGAAGAATATTGAGAACGGTTCAGGAATTGAGCACAGAAAAGGAGCGGGGAGACCTCGAAAACTGGTGTTTGGTGATCGTGTGAGACTGGGTATTTTGGCTTCTTTAAACAGAAGGGCGAGTATCTCAAATATCCAACATGAAATGGTAAATAGAGGGACAGTAAATGTATCCAAATCTACAGTAAGAAGAAATTTGATTGAATTTGGTTGGGAAAAAAAGAAAGGAATTGCCTCTCCGCTCTTGAAACAAGAACACAAGAATAGACGTGTAGAGTGGTGTTTGGCGCATGAAATTTTGACTGGAACAGTGTTATTTTCTTAGATGAGAGCTCTGTATGGGTGTATCCTAACAATGTTAAAATGTGGACAAAATGTCATTCCGTTCAATTATACCAGAGACCAAAGTACAGTCCGAAGTTTCATGTTTGGGGAGGGATATCTTCACTTGGAACAACGCCCATGTGTGTCTTTGAGGGTAATTTAACCAGTGAAAGGTATACAGACATTTTGGAAGCTCACCTGATCCCAGATGTTTTTTATGGAAATATTTGTATTTTGCAACAGGATAATGACCCCAAACACACCGCAAGACATGCACGGCAGTGGTTTGTGGACAACAATGTGACCGTTTACGACTGGCCTAGCTACAGCCCGGACTTAGAAAATGTGTGGGGACTCATGAAGGAGTCGGTGAACCAAAAGGGATTGACAATGAAGCGCGAGGTGGTGCGATATTGGGACTCTCTCACTCACGAGACTCTAACCTCTCTCATAGGAAGTATGCTCAATCGTATAAAACTGTGTTTGGAAGCAAATGGTGGTCTGATAAAATATTGGTGTTACTATGATGTGATTAAAGAAGGTTTGTGCTCACTTAAAATATGTTTTATTTTTTTTTTTTGGGGGGGGGGGGGGGGGGAATTTTCATATTTACAATTTTAAAGATTTTTCAGTTCTCAATAATTATGACTCGAACAGTATAACCTGTTCACGAATAGTTTGAAATCAGGTTCAAAGCAATATAAAGACAAACTAGCGACACTCACTATAGTTTTATTTAGGGACAGATACACACTGAACATTCTGGCTTTTGATAACAATGATCTCAGTGCACAGCAATACTGGCGTTGTTATGTGTAACTTGAACCATCCCAGGGAACACAAGCTTGATACGTGCACTATTCAGCTGCCCCTACATTTCAGGCATGTCAGTGTTAAAACTATTGGAGCTGGAATGGTTTATTAGGTTACGCTTGGCAAACAGTGTTTTTAGATTACGATACGATTCACATGATCAGCTTACGTAGGTCTGATATGTAGTTGACGTTACCCAACTGGTAAATTTTGGGGCGACATGGAACATCCTCATTATTATCACCAGTTCTACATAAACCATTGGAGCATACACTGTAAAACGTGTTTGTTCAATGACATACGTATAACATGCTAAATGGTTTTAAATTCACAAGGAAAAACATGGGGACACTGCCAGTATTGAACATTGAACGAAGGTTCGAGCCTAAATATTTTTGAAGGAGAATGTCGTATCTTCAACACTGAACTTCGTGCTTTGCAAAATATTATACTGTCCAATGTTATATTTCACTGTCATGATCATTACAGTGTCTCACATCAATGATATAATGCACAGATATGCATTTAATCCACAATGGCTATGTTTAAATCCTGTTGGTATGATTTCATTTCTTCGTTTACGTCCTCTAATTCTAACATGTGACCAACCTTTGAGGTTTAACGCCGCCCTCCCGCACTCAGCAATATGCTTGCTATATATTGCGGCGGTCTGTAAATAAATCGAATCTAGACCAGGCAATCCAGTGATTGACATCATGAGCATCGATATATGCAATTTGGATACAATGACATGCATCAACGAAGTCAGTGAGCCAGATGCCGAAAGTCGCCTCTTTCGACAAGCATTGTCACCTGTACATGTTGCGGCAAGTTTGGGCTGCTGAAGACAGGAATAAGGTGGCCCATCACACCACAGCTTTTGGCGGCCTACACTTAGGGGATAAGAAATATCTGTATGCGTGTTCACATATATCCGCTGTGATTTGACGTCACAGAGACAATTCTTTTTGGGCAATATTAGTATTGTATAAGGTACATGTAACTTTTTGTTCGTTGTTTCAATGTTTTACAATTTTTTCGACTCCCTTAGCCACAAAATGCTCTGTGGCATTACCTCTCGACAAAAGTTAGTTTTTTTATAGTTCTTTATAAATGTGAGTCAGATATTAAACACGACATCCACTGTTCTACCATATGAATCCACGATGTTGTCCACTGTTTACGCAACCGACAATAAGAACGAAAATAGCGTGTCTGATGAAATCAGGGGCATTACACACACGCACGCACGCACGCACTCACGCACGAACGCACGCACGCACGCAATCACGCTTACATGCACGCACGCACGCACACACACACACACACACACACACACACACACACACACACACACACACACACACTGGTACTTCCCGATCTGTCCGGGAGTCTCCCCGATTAGCGACGCTCATCACAGTCACCTGTCGGCTCCGTCTTTGTCCCCGGTTCATGGAACGCATTTGTTAAACGATCCAATTCATTCAATTCTCGGTAGGTGCTGTAGACTGTGAGTAGAAAACGTTCGTGTCTGATCAACTCATTGGCTGTGTTCAATCAGGAAGTTTTGGGTATTGTATATAGCTCAGGTATTTTTAAAGCAACTGTCCCAGCGCCCCGCATAACATCATGAGATGCATAACATAACACAACATCGTGAGACTATATCCTGGAAGGAGTGGACATGTAACAATGCATGTTTTAATGTGTCAATATGCACTATGGCTTTTAATGACATTTCTACCGCACATTTCAGCTAAAACTGGTAAGTGTACACATATCAAGTTAATATGTTTTATTTGTTTTTGTTTAATCTCCTTTTAGTTTCATCAACTGAATAACGCATAGCGTTTATGGCATTTCGGTGAGTCGATTCATATCCCCAAAGAATATAAATTCTTATGATTCATATAAATGCCATCGAACACATTGTTTGGCCGTTTGAATTTTTGATGATCTTAATCATATGTATAAATGATTGATCTATAACAGTTTACTTCATTCCAGCAGAACTATCGCCTCCAGTTCAAGTCAGCACAGGTTGCCATGGAAACACACATGGGGATTTCATTACCCCTGCTTGTGCGAACCAGAGTATTATTGCTGCGTCTGGTGTTTATGCTATGGTTAAGAAGGCAGACACCGGGTGTCCCGAAGTTGCCACAGACGCAGACAGAGATGAAGAAAAATGCTGTACCTACAACACCAGAGACTGTAAACTGTTGTATCTGGCTTCAGAAATGTCCTTCTATGAGGATTGCACGGGGGTTTACACGTGTAACATGAAGGTGGCCACACAACTGACCCAGGGTTGCAACGATGTTGGCTACCTCTTGAGATCCAACTACATGATGATGGAGTACTACTGTATACCAAGTATGTACCAGCCAAAGCTCGATCCTCTACCGTAATGTTCAAAAAGCCTTCATAATATTCACAACCGACCAACTAACTGGATGTAGTATTTCGTATCAAATATATACATGTAGCCACGTAAACCAAACAATTATGTTCTGTTGCAAGAGTTGCAAAACCAGATATGTTTTAATTCAAACTGTGAGCCTAAATATTTTGTTCTAAAAGACAAATTATGTAATTTCTGTGGCAGACAATTTCTACTTTTTTTCGACAGCGTGCAGAATGATTATTGTTTCCAAGACTTTTAAGAAAGTATGAGAGTATCTATCGCCTTAGGCTCTAACTTATTTTGTTTAAAAACATGTTCGTAATGATAATTAACAACTACTAGTAACCATTCAAACAGATGTAGTGTTTCGTAGCAAATATATACTTATAGCTACGACAGCCAAATACGTTCATATTGTGTACTCTTGCGGTGTGACAAGAGTGAGTGAGTGAGTTGGACTTAACGCCGCTTTGGACAGTATTTCAGTTATATCACGGCGTGTCAGCTTAATGCGGGAGAAATGCCCGAAGTGATGCAGGTCTCAGACGTTTACCACTTTGGTGAAACCCACGAACACAAGCGTTGTACTGAATCGGTGTTTGGGTTTACTAAATCTGTCTCTCATTGGCAAATAAAAGACGGTTGACGTTTACACTTTTGGATTGGAATCTTAAGTTTAAGATTATTTTCTAGCGTAGATAAAAAACCCAACACTCATCTTTTTTTATTTCGAGTTAAAGTTGAGTATGCGTTTTCTGCGTGTGTCGGTATCGTATACACGTGCCAATCTCTTCTCCCACATTGATCCGATATCAAATATAAAATCATGTCACTTTTGTAGGATCTCTGACTTTGGAGGGAGTGGAAGATGCTAGTGTCTCAGGCACGGCCGTGTATGTCAAAAGCAAGGATTATCCTAGTGGTATCCCAGCTGGCACTGAGATAAGCTGCTCCATTGCCGCCTCCTGCGACACGCCTCTCGTCATTACAGCAATACATGTGGATCTTTACATTGACAGCAGTGGAATTTGTCAGCAGCGTCTCAACATCAAAGATGGAAATGAGGAACAACAGGTAGACTGCACTAGCAACAACGGAGACAACTTTAAGATAACCGAGGCCTTGACCAGTAAAACCCATTCTCTGGTGATCAGCTTCTTGAATAACAACAGTGGCAATAATGGACGCTATTGGTTCGAAATAAAGGGTATGCATGTTGTTGTTTTTTGTGCCTTTCGTGATGCAACTAAGTGAGTGAGTTTAGTTCAACGCCGCTTTTGAACATTACTTCATGTCATGTCAGCTTGAGGTGGGAGGAAAGGCCGATGTGATGTATCTGCATGATGGCATTAAAACAAGACAGTAATGTTCCATGTAACGGACAGTTCATGAGTTACAGTACTGCATCGAAATATCAAGGGTCCGTTGTTAGAACAAAGTGCGGGGCGACGCATTGTAATACATGTGAATGAGTGAGTGAGTTAAAATGTAACGTCGCATCGGCATTATTTCAGACACATTGCGACCCCAAATTAACGTATGACTGCATTGAATGATATAAATATATGATATTTTCTTTAATCATTTCAGCTGAAACAAATGTTGCAACTGTTACAATGACGTGTGGAAATGACGCAGCATCTGCCCCACCAACTGTAGATAAATGTGCAGATAACCCAAATCACTCGAACAGACCTGCTGGTGTCACTGAGGATCCTGTCTTGTCACAATCAAGTAAGTCAGACAATTTGCTCATTGTAAAAGATGAAGAGAGGGTGTTTCACGTGTAAGGATACCGGTCCGAGCAAGGACTGTCCGGATTCTTTGACAATAATATACCTTGAACTGTGAACTACCTTTAAAGTAATTTATTTTGGACATGATCCATCATATTCTTGCTCGCATGCATATTCTATCAATCGGTTTGTCAAACGGATTCAGTGATTGTTACGAGAATGTGAGATTTCGTCGTGTTACAAACTATAGCATGAGCATTTCATACTAAAGGAAACACACATTTATTACGGACGTTTATATTCGATTTCTTTTATGAATCTTAAATTCTATATAATTGTTTTTCAGACAGATTTAGGAGTGCTACGATCGGTCTGGGTTCTATCCTCGGTATAGTTTCTATCATTATGGGTGTGTGCCTCATCATATTCTGCAGAAAATATGTTGCCTTAAAGGTATGGAAACTTATTTAGCATTAGTCCTTTGAAGTCAACACAATATTTCTGTAATCTTATATAAAATATAGAAATATTCAAAAGACCTTACAGAAATCAACACCACTGTATTTCCAGATAATATATACATGATGTTTATATTAAAAACTATTGGTAACGCCAGTCACCACCATATCGGGCATTCTATGTAATGAAATATCGCTTGTATCTGGGACTCCGACATATGTAACTTTGCAGTGACTTTGTTTCATCGTGAACATTGCCGTTAGTGACGCAACAACCTGGTGCTATGACGTCATGCCCTAAACACGGTGTTCATCTTTGTTGATCTTGTGAACCGTTAAGACTGTGAGCCTCCGAATCATCTGCCGGTCTTGGAGCTATCTGTTGGGTTGCTTATATGCGAATTCAAGAACATTGAAATCACACCGACTTATGTGTTGACATCGTTACTAGCAATCGTCACGATATAGCTGAAATATTGCCGATGTGACGTTAAACTTTAACTCACTCACTCACGTTACTAACAAGTCGATGGAAGCTTAAACCTCCCTGACTGTTGCTTGCCATTTGTGCGCCACGGTCATGTATTACGGTTACCTCTCCGTGATGGTTATTATTTCCCATCAGTCGTTTGCGTAGCACGGCGATGCATTTTAACAAAATTATGCTAACAGTCTTCTGGAGACATTTTCCGCTATTACATCGCGTATAGGTACATTTAACCATGAATAAATAAATGTGACCAACATAGGAACTGTTTCCAATCATTCCTCATGAGATGCCATATTTATTTCCATAAATATGTGACCTATTTGTGTCCTTTACATTTGCAAGATAAGAGTATGATACAACTGTACGACATATGTGATTGGTACAAACAGAACGTTTAGTTGCGTATGTGAGTAAATGCATGATTAGAGTGTTGCATAGCTAAAAGTTAAATCGCACTTATTTTCCTTCCTTCAAGCATCAGGCAAAAGTCGGACCCCCCTCCAGTAGTGCCGATGATTCTGGTGGCCTGGAGGTAACGGATTCCCTTCAACAGCCATCTTTGTCTTCACCCTATTGCCTTGCCACCCTATAACCTTGACAGTGTAAACATTCATTAACACTATGATTTTTACACAACTGATACAACGATAATAAGTCGACACTAATAATTTATTTGAAAATTCAATAGATCATCTTCGGCTACATTAAATTAATTTGGGTTTGATAGTACGTATTTAAGTTATTTCAGCCTCGTGATTCAGGTATGAGTAAATTCATGTTTATGATAAATATAATACTACTAGTATATATTTTAACGGTTCTAGTTGCAACTAATATCTTCCCTGTGTTACTTTGACTTTCAGGAAAACTGTAGAGCTACCAAAGAAAAGAATGGCGGTAATTCAATAGCACCAACAAGTACCGGTTTCCCTCCTCTTCCTGAAGCGAAGCGGAACACTGAACACCCACACGTTCCCAACAATTTTTTCGGGGAATAAATTTCACTCCTTGAACTCGCTAGCACATGACCGTCGTGTGATGTAAACATCCTAGCTTATAATCAGAAGACATGAACGCCTTGTCTGAGGGAAAAGAGAACTGATAATCTGGTAGTGGTATGTGACCAGCGGCTATTGTTCAAGCATTTTCGTTTGTATCTTTTAACGATGAGCACGGTTGTTTTAATTGGTGAAATTGATTTCGTCATCAATGTCACTGAATTTCCTTCTTGCGACCAAATCCCTCAGTTAAAAATATATCTTCTTTTCAAATGTGATAAAGCGATTTCAAAACTACAAAACATTATTTCAGGCCATTTGTTTGTTCGTAATGTGCTGTCACATCAAATCACTGCTATTATATAAAGGGCAGTTGATACAAACGTACGTGCCAGAGATTCGATGGGTGTTAGGTTTCTTTTTCCGTATATCAAAGCAATTGTGTGCTTCTTCCTAATTCTAAGGGAAGCAACCATACACTGGGGGAAATGTGTGCAGTATGGATTTATGTAATACCTACCACAAATTGTTAAATACATTATCTAAAAATATGGGGGACGTAACTGTTGAGAAACTGAGAACTTATTCATTGTCATCATTTCGAGTCCTATTTGGTTTTATACTTAGCGTAAATTTCCATTCCTATCGAAGGATTATTGCACATATGTCCACGTGTATTGGAACACATTCTGTATGTAGAATGATATGTTTGTTTTCTGAATAAAACAAAGAAACACTATTTTTCTTAAGTTGCTAATCTGTTCACCTGATAACGCCAGCTTTGGTAAAATTGTCCCTTTATAACTGTTTAACACGGCCTTGCTTATTGCATTTCTAAAATAGGCCATTGCTTACTGACAGGTGGTTCGACTGACAGTGCTGACGTGAGCTGGCTTCCTACTGGCTATCAGCTGGTGTAGGGTTCCCTGTTTTATAGAGACCTGGGTGTCTGTGAACGAACCACTCGTATTATCAATTGGTTTTGAGCAACAGCATTTCCTATCATTCGGGTTTTGCTAATTGACCACACTGCCAGTGTCGACATGTTACCTCTTCGTCTTGGTGCAGCTAATGACGACCGTTCGGACGTCCATTGCAATTGCTTAGGTGCCTGAAACTGCCTCGTTTTGTACCACAATATGTTGTCATACATCTTGAACTAAACAACCCCTCCGATGGTCAATGGTCATAGGTTTCTACGTCATCCTCATATGTCAGTTACACATGGTGCAGGTTCTGACAGACGAGAAGGGACATGCACATCCTTGTGTGTCAGTTACACCTGGTGCAGGTTCTGACAGACGAGAAGGGACATGCACATCCTTGTGTGTCAGCTACACCTGGTGCAGGTTCTGACAGGAGAGAGGGAACATGCACATCCTTGTGTGTCAGCTACACCTGGTGCAGGTTCTGACAGGAGAGAGGGAACATGCACATCCTTGTGTGTCAGCTACACCTGGTGCAGGTACCGACAGGAGAGAGGGAACATGCACATCCTTGTGTGTCAGCTACACATGGTGCAGGTTCTGACAGGAGAGAGGGAACATGCACATCCTTGTGTGTCAGCTACACATGGTGCAGGTTCTGACAGGAGAGAGGGAACATGCACATCCTTGTGTGTCAGCTACACATGGTGCAGGTTCTGACAGAAGAGAGGGAACATGCACATCCTTGTGTGTCAGCTACACCTGGTGAAGGTTCTGACAGGAGAGAGGGAACATGCACAACCTTGTGTGTCAGCTACACCTGGTGAAGGTTCTGGCAGGAGAGAGGGAACATGCACATCCTTGTGTGTCAGCTACATGTGGTGCAGGTTCTGGCAGGAGAGAAGGAACATGCACACCCTTGTGTGTCAGCTACACATGGTGCAGGTTCTGACAGGAGAGAGGGAACATGCACATCCTTGTGTGTCAGCTACACCTGGTGCAGGTTCTGACAGGAGAGAGGGAACATGCACATCCTTGTGTGTCAGCTACACCTGGTGCAGGTACCGACAGGAGAGAGGGAACATGCACATCCTTGTGTGTCAGCTACACATGGTGCAGGTTCTGACAGGAGAGAGGGAACATGCACATCCTTGTGTGTCAGCTACACATGGTGCAGGTTCTGACAGGAGAGAGGGAACATGCACATCCTTGTGTGTCAGCTACACATGGTGCAGGTTCTGACAGGAGAGAGGGAACATGCACATCCTTGTGTGTCAGCTACACCTGGTGAAGGTTCTGACAGGAGAGAGGGAACATGCACAACCTTGTGTGTCAGCTACACCTGGTGAAGGTTCTGGCAGGAGAGAGGGAACATGCACATCCTTGTGTGTCAGCTACATGTGGTGCAGGTTCTGGCAGGAGAGAAGGAACATGCACATCCTTGTGTGTCAGCTACACATGGTGCAGGTTCTTGCAGGAGAGAAGGAACATGCACACCCGTATGTTTCAGCTACACATAGTGCAGGTTCTGACAGGAGAGAGGGAACATGCACACCCGTATGTGTCAGCTGCACATAGTGCAGGTTCTGACAGGAGAGAGGGAACATGAACACCCGTGTGTATGAGCTACACGTGGTGCAGGTTCTGGCAGGAGAGAAGGAACATGCACATCCTTGTGTGTCAGCTACACATGGTGCAGGTTCTGACAGGAGAGAAGGAACATGCACAACCTTGTGTGTCAGCTACACATGGTGCAGGTTCTGGCAGGAGAGAAGGAACATGCACATCCTTGTGTGTCAGCTACACATGGTGCAGGTTCTGACAGGAGAGAAGGAACATGCACATCCTTGTGTGTCAGCTACACATGATGCAGGTTCTGACAGGAGAGAAGGAACATGCACATCCTTGTGTGTCAGCTGGACATGATGCAGGTTCTGACAGGAGAGAGGGAACATGCCCACCCGTATGTGTCAGCTGCACATAGTGCAGGTTCTGACAGGAGAGAGGGAACATGAACACCCGTGTGTATGAGCTACACGTGGTGCAGGTTCTGGCAGGAGAGAAGGAACATGCACATCCTTGTGTGTCAGCTACACCTGGTGCAGGTTCTGGCAGGAGAGAAGGAACATGCACATCCTTGTGTGTCAGCTGCACGTGGTGCAGGTTCTGGCAGGAGAGAAGGAACATGCACATCCTTGTGTGTCAGCTGGACTTGATGCAGGTTCTGGCAGAATATAAGTGAGACGTTTGAATGCCTGCTGGAACTCGTGGAGTCCTCACGCTGTTATTATTTTAAACACACGTATTTATCTACTATGGGTGTTCGTTCCTGCATACATGTCTACTTTATATATCATTACAGCTTTTACAATTTCAGTGAGAACTCTTCATAATGTACAATTAGCAATCGTAATGTTGAATAGTTTCGGGAAGTGCTAAATCTTTTCGAGGATGACGATTATTAACCGTTTCGAACTCTATGTGCTACACTCAATATGTACTTTTGACACGAAAACGCTCAATACAAAAAAAACATTTCACCTTTAACACTCGGAATAAACCCCAAGAATGTTATTCGATAATGTATAACCAGCGTTTAAATACCCGCTTGCCCGACCGTCCGAGACGGGTTGTTAAGACATGCACGTCCGATGGCCGGATGTTTGTAGATTATTTAATGAAATAAGGGTAGGACTGCCATTTAGAAAATGAACACATATTTAAATATGCAGTATTGTGTAGGGGCGGTCGGGTAGCCTAGTGGTTAAAGCGTTCGCTCGTCACGCCGAAGACCCGGGTTTGATTCCCGACATGGGTACAATGTGTGAAGCCCATTTCTGGTGTCCCCCGCCGTGATATTGCTGGAATATTGCTAAAAGCGGCGTAAAACCATACTCACTCACTCAGTATTGTGTAAAAATGAGTGCATATAACATGCAGAAATTAAGACACGGTAAAAGTTTACAATCAACATAATGTTCATTTAAATAATACTTCAATCTGGTTACAAGACATCAAGCATCAGTAGTGTTATTATCCACATGATAATCCGTTTTCCTGCATGTAGCGTAAAATATTTAACTGCACCTACAGTGGCACATGATTGTCACTGTATATTGTGCTGATATGTTAGTGTCGGTGACGCCATTGCATAGATAAAGGATGTTGGGATAGTTTTAGTTAAAAGTTTTAACTGTAATCCCCGCGTCCAAATGAGTGCCTATCACGCCAGCGAGATGAGAATGAAGCTACTACAACCAGAACAGGCAGGCTATCCGTACTCAGGGCCTGAATTTATGATCATGTTGTTACGCTGTAGTTTGCAAAATTCCAGTTATATCATCATATTCTGTAAAAGGTCAAATCTGGACCAGTCAGTTCAGTGGTTAATCATGGAGCCACACCACGCTTAGGGGGTAATGTCATGTGATCAACCACGTCACTGAGCCCCGTCAAATTTTATCGCCTCTTACAGGCAGAAATAAAGTGGGATCTATTCTAACCCGGGTCCCTGCGGTACATGCTTATCCTAATCTTTCAATGGATAGCAAGTCTCGTTTATTCATGATCTACCACACTCTACGACTTCACCCCTGGTTCAAGTAAACTGGGACGAAGTAAATGCCGCGCTCATAATACGACATTAACGTCAGGCTACCATTTAGAAGGCATTGAAGGATGACCTCGGCATAATTGATGGGATGATATAAATTATAAGGGTATTAGAAGTTTACATTTTCACCACACAGGAAGTTTCTTTCAACAAAAGCAACCTACAGGGGTAATTCGACCTCATTCAAATAATGTCAAAGAAATCTGTAATTGTAGTCTCACAGTTCATTTCGCACATCTGCCACTGAGGTATTATAATTTGTGTTCGCTTCTTAGAACATTACTTATGTTCAAGTGTAGCGTATATGCCAGGGATGGGTATGTCTTCAAGGGTATGATATATGGAGAGAAACTATGTGCTGACGGAATACGGCCTAGTATAAAATCAACTTAGAATTATTTATCAGCCTTAAATCAATACAAGTCTTTGAATGGTATTTAGAAGTGATACACACAGGAGAGAATTTAAGGATGTGAACTTCTGTTTTAATAGGAACAAAGTGTTTCGGAGTATATGCGTCCGTCCAGAGAGAGGAAGGTCTGGAGTTCGATCCCCGGCCTTGTCATACAAAAAGACGTTAAAAGATAGTACTTGTTGTTGCCTTGTCTGTCGCTCGACATGAAGGGGCTTCAACAAGGCCTGGTCGGTTCGGAGTCAGTATACCGTGTGTGAGTGGGGTATTTTGCATGGTATCTCAGTGGGATAGTATTGTAAAATAGTCATTAGTCCGGACTAGCACAAGCAGCCAAACACGCACAAACCCCATTTCACCTCACCTCATCTTCATCAGGTAAATGAATGCTAGGATGTAGAGAGCATATGCATGTGCATGTCAAAACAACAAAAGTAGTAAGATGGAATGGACTTCAATTTGTCCATTGCGTTTTACCAATCAGTGCTAATTTAACCCCTGGCTTCCATTTAGTCCATGAAAAAATAAATTACATTACTGGTCGAAATTTTGAAGATTGCTTGAACGTAATGCAGGAAAACGTTTGGCGAGTCTTACTTAAGTTTAGAACTTGTAGCCATAACTTACCTTTAGAAACTGGGATATGGAGAAAATAGCTTTAACCGACAAATGTGTCTACTTTGTTAACTATCTGACATTAGAGATGAATTCCATTATTTTTTGTACCTGTCCATCTTTAGAAGACGAAAGAAAATTGCTTTCAAGCAGATTTATTACAATCGAATCAATATGTATAAGATGAACGTACTTATCAATAATACACGACTAAGAACATTAAGAAAATTTTCCAAATGTTCTAAAATCAGCATGTCATTATTTAAACCCGGACATCAGGAATAAAGGTGGCCCAATGTTATTCCATCACACCACAGCTTTTGACGGCCTACACTTAGGGGTTAAGAAATTTCTGTATGCGTGTTCACACATATCCGCTGTGATTTGACGTCACAGAGACAATTCTATTTGGGCACTATTAATATTGTATTAGTTACATGTAGCCTTTTGTTCGTTGTTTCAATGTTCTGGTACGGATTAAGGCTTCTGTTTTGTCCCCGGTTCATGGATCGCATGGCAAAAGAGCAAATTCATTCAATTCTTGGTAAGGGCTGTTGGCTGTGATATTTCGTAGAAAACGACCGTGTCTGGTCAACTCATTGGCTGTGTTCAATCAGGAAGTGTTGGGTATTGGGTACATTAATTTAGCGTAACATAACACAACATGTAACAATGCATATTTTAATGTGTCAATATGCACTATGGCTTTTAATATCATTTCTACCGCACATTTCAGCTAAAACTGGTAAGTGTACACATATCAAGTTAATATGTTTTATTTGTTTTTGTTTAATCTCCTTTTAGTTTCATCAACTGAATAACGCATAGCGTTTATATCCCCAAAGAATATAAATTCTTATGATTCATATAAATGCCATCGAACACATTGTCTGGCCGTTTGAATTTTTGATGATCTTAATCATATGTATAAATGATTGATCTAAAAACAGTTTACTTCATTCCAGCAGAATTATCGGCTCCAGTTCAAGTCAGCACGGGTTGCCATGGAAACACACATGGGGATTTCCTTACCCCTGCTTGTGCGAGTATTATTGCTGCGTCTGGTGTTTATGCTATGGTTAAGAAGGCAGACACCGGGTGTCCCGAAGTTGCCACAGACGCAGACAGAGATGAAGAGAAATGCTGTACCTACAACACCAGAGACTGTAAACTGTTGTATCTGGCTTCAGAAATGTCCTTCTATGAGGATTGCACGGGGGTTTACACGTGTAATATGAAGGTGGCCACACAACTGACCCAGGGTTGCAACGATGTTGGCTACCTCTTGAGATCCAACTACATGATGATGGAGTACTACTGTATACCAAGTATGTACCAGCCAAAGCTCGATCCTCTACCGTAATGTTCAAAAAGCCTTCATAATATTCACAACCGACCAACTAACTGGATATAGTATTTCGTATCAAATATATACATGTAGCCACGTAAACCAAACCATTATGTTCTGTTGCAAGAGTTGCAAAACCAGATTTGTTTTTTTAATTCAAACTGTGAGCCCAAACATTTTGTTCTAAAAGACAAATTATGTAATTTTTGTGGCAGACAATTTCTACTTTTTTTCGACAGCTTGCAGAATGATTTTTTTTTCCAAGACTTTTAAGAAAGTATGAGAGTATCTATCGCCTTAGGCTCTAACTTATTTTGTTCAAAAACGTGTTCGTAATGATAATTAACAACTAACCATTCAGACTGATGTAGTATTTCGTAGCAAATATATACTTATAGCTACGTCAGCCAAGTACTTTCATATTGTGTACTCTTGCGGTGTGACAAGAGTTAGTAAGTGAGTTGGACTTAACGCCGCTTTGGACAGTATTTCAGTTATATTACGGCGTGTCAGCTTAATGTGGGAGAAATGCCCGAAGTGATGCAGGTCTCAGACGTTTACCACTTTGGTGAAACCCACGAACACAAGCGTTGTACTGAATTGGTGTTTGGGTTTACTAAATCTGTCTCTCATTGGCGAATAAAAGACGGTTGACGTTTACACTTTTGGATTGGAATCTTAAGTTTAAGATTATTTTCTAGCGTAGTTAAAACCCCAACACTCATCTTTTTTTATTTCGAGTTAAAGTTGAGTATGCGTTTTCTGCGTGTATCGGTATCGTATACACGTGCCAATCTCTTCTCCCACATTGATCCGATATCAAATATAAAATCATGTCACTTTTGTAGGATCTCTGACTTTGGAGGGAGTGGAAGATGCTAGTGTCTCAGGCACGGCCGTGTATGTCAAAAGCAAGGATTATCCTAGTGGTATCCCAGCTGGCACTGAGATAAGCTGCTCCATTGTCGCCCCCTGCGACACGCCTCTCGTCATTACAGCAATACATGTGGATCTTTACATTGACAGCAGTGGAATTTGTCAGCAGCGTCTCAACATCAAAGAGGGAAATGAGGAACAACAGGTAGACTGCACTAGCAACAACGGAGACAACTTTAAGATAACCGAGGCCTTGACCAGTAAAACCCATTCTCTGGTGATCAGCTTCTTGAATAACAACAGTGGCAATAATGGACGCTATTGGTTCGATATAAATGGTATGCATGTTTTATTGTTGTGCCTTTCGTGATGCAACTAAGTGAGTGAGTTTAGTTCAATGCCGCTTTTGAACATTACTTCATGTCATGTCAGCTTGAGGTGGGAGGAAAGGCCGATGTGATGTATCTGCATGATGGCATTAAAACAAGACAGTAATGTTCCATGTAACGGACAGTTCATGAGTTACAGTACTGCATCGAAATATCAAGGGTCCGTTGTTAGAACAAAGTGCGGGGCGACGCATTGTAATACATGTGAATGAGTAAGTGAGTTAAAATGTAACGTCGCATCGGAATTACTTCAGCCACATTGCGACCCCAAATTAAAGAAGGCGTGGATTGTGACGTTCTCAATTGATACGCAGTCAACAATATTGCGGAGTTTATCCGAAACTAATTGGTAATGTTTTGAATTTTAATGAATGTGGGGTATTTTCTAATGACATATGGTGACTGCATCGTAACACTTCGTGTCAAGCGTGTTAGTTCAAGCAGAGACCATATTCCGATATCGGTTTATGGTCCCTGGTTCAAGTGACTGACTTTCTATTGGGCAGAATCTTGTTAAACATGTACATTATATACCAAGCACTCGCAGTTGTATTAACAATTAATATGTCATGATTACAAGTTTCAGATATACGATACTTTTGTAAAAGTATGAATACTTAATACTAATAAATTAAATATTCGAACTAGCAAATATATCAATTCTGAGGCAAGTATACGTATATGGAATAGACAGATCCTTTCCTTTCTGATATAGCGCTCCATTATGATTGTATATTCAACTGTATTTTATATCGCAATAACTCCAATCTAGGAAAACGTATGACTGCATTGAATGATATAAATATATGATATTTTCTTTAATCATTTCAGCTGAAACAAATGTTGCAACTGTTACAATGACGTGTGGAAATGACGCAGCATCTGCCCCACCAACTGTAGATAAATGTGCAGATAACCCAAATCACTCGAACAGACCTGCTGGTGTCACTGAGGATCCTGTCTTGTCACAATCAAGTGAGTCAGACAATTTGCTCATTGTAAAAGATGAAGAGAGGGTATTTCGCGTGTAAGGATACCGGTCCGAGCAAGGACTGTCCGGATTCTTTGACAATAAAGCCATCATACCTTGAACTGTGAACTACATATAATTAATTTATTTTGGACATGATCCATCATATTCTTGCTCGCATGCATATTTCAATCGGTTTGTCAAACGGATTCAGTGATTGTTACGAGAATGTGAGATTTCGTCGTGTTACAAACTATAGCATAAGCGTTTAATACTAAAAGAAACACACATTATTACGGACGTTTATATTCGATTTCTTTTATGAATCTTAAATTCTATATAATTGTTTTTCAGACAGATATAGGAGTGCTACGATCGGTCTGGGTTCTATCTTCGGTATAGTTTCTATCATTATGGGTGTGTGCCTCATCATATTCTGCAGAAAATATGCTGCCTTAAAGGTATGGAAACTTATTGAGCATTAGTCCTTTGAAGTCAACACAATATTTCTGTAATCTTATATAAAATATCGAAATATTCAAAAGACCTTACAGAAATCAACACCACTGTATTTCCAGATAATATATACATGATGTTTATATTAAAAACTATTGGTAACGCCAGTCACCACCATATCGGGCATTCTATGTAATGAAATATCGCTTGTATCTGGGACTCCGACATATGTAACTTTGCAGTGACTTTGTTTCATCGTGAACATTGCCGTTAGTGACGCAACAACCTGGTGCTATGACGCCATGCCCTAAACACGGTGTTCATCTTTGTTGATCTTGTGAACCGGTAAGACTGTGAGCCTCCGAATCATCTGCCGGTCTTGGAGCTATCTGTTGGGTTGCTTATATGCAAATTCAAGAACATTGAAATCACACCGACTTATGTGTTGACATCGTTACTAACAAATCGATGGAAGCTTAAACCTCCCTGACTGCTGTTTGCCATTTGTGCGCTACGGTCATGTATTGCTTGTTTGATAGGCATTACTTAGAAGTTGGCGGATCACAAGATAGACACAATTTTATGGATAACAACTTCTTTAATACTGTAAAAAAGCGACGTTTCGGTATAGATCCTTATACCGTTGTCAAGCAAGACTGAATGAGGGACATAGTGCAGAATATATATAGCAAATGGAGGATTAACTGTAGAGGATTAACAGTAACAACAAGGGCATACATGAGTGGGATAACATAGGTAGGTGTGACAACAAGGATGATGCTATCACAACACGATGGACAGAAAACACATAGCTAGAAGCCAATGGGGCATGAAGCCAATAAACAGATGATTATTGCTATTTCATCCCATCCGCCTACTATGAACTCATCAAACAATAATCACCTGTTTATCTGGTCATGTACTCTCCGTGATTATTATTTCCCATCAGTCGTTTGCGTAGCACGGCGATGCATTTGAAAAATTATGCTAACAGTCTTCTGGAGACATTTTCCGCTATTACATCGCGTATAGGTACATTTAACCATGAATAAATAAATGTGACCAACATAGCAACTGTTTCTAATCATTCCTCATGAGATGCCATATTTATTTCCCTAAATATGTGACCTATTTGTGTCCTTTACATTTGCAAGATAAGAGTATGATACACCTTTACGACATATGTGATTGGGACAAACAGAACGTTTAGTTGCGTATGTGAGTAAATGTATGATTAGAGTGTTGCATAGGTAAAAGCTAAATCGCACTTATTTTCCTTCCTTCAATCATCAGGCAAAAGTCGGACCCACCTCCAGTAGTGCATAAATACATTATCTAAAAATATAGGGGACGTAACTGTTGAGAAACTCAGAACTTATTCATTGTCATCATTCCATACTTAGCGTAAAATGTCCATTCCCATCGTAGGATTATTGCAAATATATCTACGTGTATTGGAACACATACAGTATGTAGAATGATATATTTGTTTTCTGAATAAAACAATGAAACATAGACGTGCTGACGTGAGCTGGCTTCCTACCGGCTAACGGTTGCGTAGGGTTCCCTGTTTTATAGAGACCTGGGTGTCTGTGAACGTACCACTGGTATTATCAATGGGTTTTGAGCAACAGCATTTCCTATCATTCGGGGTTTGCTAATTGACGGTGGACCAGACTGCCAGTGTCGACATGTTACCTGTCGTTCTTGGTTCAGCTGATGGTGACCGTTCGGAACATGCACAACCTTGTGTGTCAGCTACACATGATGCAGGGTCTGGCAGTAGAGAGGGAACATGCACACCCTTGTATGTCAGTTACACATGGTGCAGGTTCTGGCAGGAGAGAGGGAACATGCACACCCTTGTATGTCAGTTACACATGGTGCAGGTTCTGGCAGGAGAGAGGGAACATGCACACCCTTGTATGTCAGCTACACATTATGCAGGGTATGGCAGGAGAGAGGGAACATGCACAACCTTGTGTGTCAGCTACACATGATGCAGGGTCTGGCAGGAGAGAGGGAACATGCACATCCTTGTGTGTCAGCTACACATGGTGCAGGTTCTGACAGGAGAGAGGGAACATGCACAACCTTGTATGTCAGTTACACCTGGTGCAGGTTCTGGCAGGAGAGAGGGAACATGCACAACCTTGTGTGTCAGCTACACATGGTGCAGGTTCTGACAGGAGAGAAGGAACATGCACATCCTTGTGTGTCAGCTACACGTGGTGCAGGTTCTGGCAGGAGAGAGGGAACATGCACATCCTTGTGTGTCAGCTAAACATGGTGCAGGTTCTGACAAGAGAGAAGGAACATGCACATCCTTGTGTGTCAGTTACACCTGGTGCAGGTTCTGGCAGGAGAGAGGGAACATGCACACCCTTGTGTGTCAGCTACACTTGGTGCAGGTACCGACAGGAGAGAGGGAACATGCACATCCTTGTGTGTCAGCTAAACATGGTGCAGGTTCTGACAAGAGAGAAGGAACATGCACATCCTTGTGTGTCAGCTACACATGGTGCAGGTTCTGACAGGAGAGAAGGAACATGCACATCCTTGTGTGTCAGCTACACGTGGTGCAGGTTCTTGCAGGAGAGAGGGAACATGCACATCCTTGTGTGTCAGCTAAACATGGTGCAGGTTCTGACAAGAGAGAAGGAACATGCACATCCTTGTGTGTCAGTTACACCTGGTGCAGGTTCTGACAGGAGAGAAGGAACATGCACATCCTTGTGTGTCAGCTACACGTGGTGCAGGTTCTGGCAGGAGAGAGGGAACATGCACATCCTTGTGTGTCAGCTAAACATGGTGCAGGTTCTGACAGGAGAGAGGGAACATGCACATCCTTGTGTGTCAGTTACACCTGGTGCAGGTTCTGGCAGGAGAGAGGGAACATGCACATCCTTGTGTGTCAGCTACACGTGGTGCAGGTTCTGGCAGGAGGGAGGGAACATGCACAACCTTGTGTGTCAGCTACACGTGGTGCAGGTTCTGGCAGAAGGTCACCGCTGAGCCTCGTCAAATTTATTCTAACCCGGTTCCCGGCGGTTTAGTTTATTCTAAACATATACAATCTTTCAATAGATAGCGACTATCATTTATTCATTATCTACCACACTCTACGACTTCACTCCTGGTTCAAGTAAACGGGGACGAAGTAAATGCCGCGCTCATAATACGACATTAACGTCAGGCTACCATTAAGAAGGCATTGAAGGATGACGTCGGCATAATTGATGGGTATGTTAAAATTTATAAGGGTATAAGAGGTTTACATTTTCACAACACAGGAAGTTTATTTCAACAAAAGTTGACAACCTTCAGGGGTAATTCGACCTCATTCAAATAATGTCAAAGAAAACTGTAATTGTAGTCTCACCATTCATTCCACACATCTGCCACTGTGAATGGTATTTAGAAGTGATACACACAGGAAAGAGACTTTAAGGATGTGAACTTCTTTACTTATGAGGAACACAGCGTTTCGGAGTATACGCTTACTTCACTTTTACCTCACCCTGGGTCGAGTAGACAACACGACGCAGAACAATTTTCTGAGACTGTGTTGGAATAAGTGGGTACTTTCCAAAATGAAGGATTAATGTGCATATGTGAAGGCCATTAATAATTATTCAAGAACTGGAACCAAGACGAATTGTATCGAAGGAGTCGATGAGGTTTGTGGTCGGATGGTTATTGACGTTAAAGAAAATAGTTATGGTGATCTGTTTCTAGACTTTTTGATAAGTCTACCTAAGTGGTAGATTATATTGTAACAACACATGAAAATTTACCTTGCTTTAACGATTTAATAATGTGATCAAAATATCATCTCTTGTGAGTTGTTTCAATGCACCAGCTTGTATATGAAGAGGTTGTAAATGCACTCGCCCGTGTTAAATGCGGAAAAGCGGCGGGTTCCAAACTTATACCTGCGGAAGCGCTCAAAAATAGTTCCCGTGTGGATAGTTTGCTGAGGCTTTTTAATTTGTGTTTTGAATATGATATCTGTCCTGATGTTTGGCGCCATATTATTATTTCACCAATCCTGAAACAAAATGCCGATCCCTGGGACCCACTGGGATACAGTTGGATCTCCTTAATCAGTACCCTGTAAAGTTTATTCTGATATTTTAAACACACGGTTCACAAAGTGGCTTGAACGTAATACTATTTTGGCCGAAGAGCAGAATGGATTCCGTAGTAAGCGGACACTAAATTGACACTTGATAGGGAAAACTGGGTTCGTGAGCTTTGGAATGACACTGGCCATACTACAGGTAATAAGCTTAGAACGTTTAGGTTGTTTAAAAATACACTGAATCTTTCATTGTATGTCATATTCTGGATAGATCACGACGAAGCACTTTAGCTAATCTTCGCTGTGGAACTTTACCTTTAGAATTAGAAAGAGGCCGTTATACACGCCCGAAAACCCCTGTTTCTGAACGCGTCTGTAAATCATGTAATGGCCAAACTGTTGACGATGAAGTTCACTTTTTGGTAACGTGTGACTGTTATAGAGATCTAAGACTTTATCTTTGGCAGAAAGTATCCCTTGTTAACCCCTCGTTTATTACCATGTCTCCAGCAGACCAAACCGTATTCTTAATGCAGTGCGACGATCTTGTTAAACCACTTGCTGCATTTATCTTCTCAATGTTTCAGAGAAGAAAATATAATATAAAAACATAAATTGGGCAGTTGTATACATGTGATAATTCCTATCATTTTCACTGTTGTTTTACTGTGTTGTATGGTTTGTTGTATGGAGATGCTGCGAGATGTGATGAGTGACTGGCCTGTAAGGTTGTGGTTATGTTTGTTTCGTATTGTTGGGTTTAATGGTATGTGTATGTGTGCTGTTGGGTGTGTGTATATGCGACAGTGGAGTGTTGACGTTACTTTGTTAGTGTCTTTGTACGTGGTTGCGAAGGAGGGCGTGGTTGATAATGCAGATAAGGGAGTTGGTATGGATGCGTGAATTGGTACATGTGTGGGTACGTTTGACAAATAGGGTGTGGGTGAGGGTACTGTGTGACGGTGTGGTGAGGGTTCGGATGTGATTGAGCGGTTGTCAATGAGGGTTTGAATGTGTTTGAATGATCACGAGCGGGTGTGTTTGAGTGATTTGTGTAAGCTGCTCCGATCGAAGGACTGGATGTCGAAATGGACGTGGCTGTGTGTAAATAGGATGCTTTTACGGGGGATATTGTGAATGCTATTTTCATAATTATTATCAAATGTGGTGTGTATATATATATAAAACATTGTTTTTATGAGTCTTTTAGTGAGGTTTTACATTCTTGCCTTGTCATTTTATATGTACAGCGAGTGACACTATAATAAAATATTCTTCTACTTTTTCATCATCATCAGGAGACCACCTCCGTGGTCTAGTAGGTAGAGCGTCCGTCCGGAGAGCGGAAGTTCCGGGGTTCGATCCCCGACCGCGTCATACCAAAAGACGTTAAAAGATGGTACTTGTTGTTACCCTGTCTGGCGCTCTGCATTAAGGGGCTAAAACAAGGACTGGTCGGCCCGGAGTCAGTATACTGTGTCTGAGTGGGGTATTCATGTTAAACTGCGGCATGGTATCTCAGTGTGCTAGCACTATAAATCGGCATCAGTCCGGATTAGTACAAGCAGCCACCCAAACACACACACGTACATGCACGTCGCTATATAAGTGCAATATTCTTTGACGCGACGTTAAACCAAATTTCACCTCACCTCACCTTATATGTACAGCGGGTGACACTATAATAAAATATTCTTCTTCTTTTTCATCATCATCAGGTGACCACCTCCGTGGTCTAGTAGGTAGAGCGTCCGTCCGGAGAGCGAAAGATCGGGCGTTCGATCCCCGACCGTGTCATTAAAAAGACGTTGCAAGATTGTACTCGTTGTTACCCTGTCTAACGCTCGGTATCACGGGGCTTCAACAGGGAGCGACAGGCAGGGTAACAACAAGTACTATCTTTTAACGTCTTTTTGATGAGATTTAATGTTAATTTCAAAGGTACAAAGGAAATGACGAACACTGAACACTATCGTCGAGAAATTTGTGAGCATACTCTTATGCACTTCCTGCATGCCAATGTTGCCCACAACCATCACTGGGCAGACTGGTGTCTCATGTTTGAATGGAACAACTTACACACCGATTTCTCTCTTGCGATTCCGAGCCATGTCAAATATTCTCACTCCTGGGGACCAAACTGCAACGTACAATATATAGCATACAACGCTTTGCATATTCGTCACCACAAACTATTACCAGCATGCTTAAATGCACAAATTTGGGTTGACGAATTTCCTTTTTAAATCCAGCATAGTTGCTTTCATATATGAATATGTACATATAATGTGTTTCTGAATCTGATAAAATTGAATGACAATGTTTCTGCTCATAGTACTGGACAATTGACATGAATCTGACATGGCGCTGAAACAAACATTGACTATGTGACCCTAATAAGAAAATGGTGTTCTTTTATATTTTACCTTCATTATGTTTTATCAACATAGCTGGATGTCGACGTCAGGTGGTTGTTTTTGCAAATGGATAACATGTGAGTGAGTGAGTTGGTTTAACGCCGCTTTTAACAGTATTCCAGTCATATCGCGACGTGTTAGCTTAATGTGGGAGGAAAGCCCGAAGTGATGCAGGTCTCAGACGTTTACGACTTCTGTGAAACCCACGAGCACGGGTATGGTGCTGACAAACCTAGAAACATAATTGGGGCGAACCGGGATTCGAACCCACAAACATAGGTTTCTGGCGTTCCCAAGGGACGCAACTCTGCTCAGCGAATCGCGGCGCCTTAGACTACTGGGCCACCCGTGTCATGTGGTTCTGCCCACACTTTCAATCATTTCAAACAAAGGTCTGGACCCTTTCCTGTCCAGCTTCCACCCTTGCTTAACTAGACTCGGATTTCAGAGTTATAATTTGGCTGTACCAACGAATCTGCATAGTCCAATCAAATTCTCGTTACGGACTCAACATCCAGTTCGTAAACAATATGGGGACTGTGGTGCAGATTTCGGTCGATTGCAGGATTTGCAAAACATGTGTACCACCAACTGGTCATCGACAGATATGTTCCTTATCTTTTCATATTTTTTATAAACGTGATCTGATGCAATTTGTGAGGTAAGACCCGTTATAAAACATAGATTTTGATTATCGATCAGACCCGGGTCGATTCCTCACATGCTTACTGTGTATGAAGCCCATTTCTGCTGCCACCTCCGTGATATTGCTGGATTATTGTTAATGGCGGTGTAAAACCATACTCACTCACCCACTCACAATGGAGTCACGAAATTACAGCCAAGATGACCAAGGCTGGTAACTAGTCTGTAACAGTCCCTTGCTTCTGGAAAATGTACTTATGAAGCCGAAACTGTTAATAATTCTATATCATAATAGATTTGTCATGACCTTAAGTAAATGCACATATGTTAAGTTGTTTTTATCATATTTAGTCAAAGGGAGCCTATTAGCCAAAGGGAGTCAGCTCTTAGGCGCTTGTGTGTTTGTTGAACTGTACGAAGCTGTAGTCCATACTTTATAAATTGACAACACACTTGTCTCCGATGAATGTTTTGTAAATATATTTTGGTACGTGTACATTATATTCTTGTACGTGTACATTGAGCTCACTGACAGGAATATAATGATGAGGATTTTGATTGACATTTTACATTGCTAAGGTGAATGTAATAATTAATAAGCAGGTGTTCGTGAACCATATGTATATATATAGGTCTTACATTGCGTGTGCCTTCAAATGCAAGTGATATCATATTCGATCTAGCCATGAAATTTCAACATAGTTCGGCAAGGATGGAAACTGCACTTTTATAGTCAGTTAACTCCCGTCTAGCGGAGACGAGCGTAACAATTAACTTACACTTTGCACATATTGTTGGTAGAAGGGTGGCGTATGAATACAACATTCGTAGTTGATGATTCAACTATGGGCTGTTCTCTCAAGGTGCAA